ATTATATAGATTTTGCATCATATCAAAAAACGTTTCCCTTTGCAAAAAGACTCCGGCATTGTCTCCTAAAAGATAAATTTGTTTCCTTTGTTTAACACCTCGCTCAATCCAAAAATTGTGGGTTTTCCTTAATTTGATATAAACCAGTAGGAGTAAGGCAATTCCAAAAATTATAAGCATCATTTTTAAATCTGCAATTAAACGTTTAATAGTTATTTTTTAACCTTGAAAAATGTACTGCGCGTGAGGAATGAAATTTTTTATTCCAAACACGCGATATTGTTTACTTTTCAATTTAACAGATCTTTAATCTCTTCCCTTTACAGATAAAAATAAAGCGTAAATAAATAAACAAGAACATAATTTTGTTATTGTGTTCAATTTGTGATAATAACATCTAAGTGAATTTTAAATTGGAAGATTTGGAATAAGTTTGATTTTATTTGAGTTCGTTTAATTATATTTTATGTGGGTCATTGAAACAAACAAAGGTTGTTTTAATTAAGAAGAAAATACGCAAAACTCAAAATAGCGCAGGTTTATAAATATCATACAAAGAAAAATTAAAAGATTTAATAATTATTATTTATTTATTTAAGGTTTAAAAAGTCTTTGAACTCACACCAGGTTTTGAGTGAAACCGGTAAATAAATATTGGTGCATTCCTGCACTTAAGTCAATGACCTAAACGAACAAAGATTATTCAAATTTGAGATAAAAAATTGTTAATAAAAAAAACTTACCTTAATTGTAATTAAATCAATCACATTCAAATTTATTTATTGTTCACTTTGTTTATAGATTTCTCTTTATCTTGTATGATACAACCTGCTGCGTAAAATACATCTGAAAACTGACTCAAAGACGAACGCTCATCAGGTATTTAACCAACCAAACCGCAGCATGATATTGCGCAAATTTATTGTGAAATTACAAAAACAACTATACATATGTTATTCCCCATCTTGACTTAATAAAATATTTAATCATGTTTTGTCATACGATTTAAACTCGATCAGTTAACGCTTTTATTATTAACCCTACATTATTACTCATTTATATCGAATCTATTTTTAAATAGCTTATTTTGTTGTATTAATAAGATTGTGTTATTCAAGTGGAATAGGAATAAAACAATAAATCGATCACTTTCACTTTATGCACATATTCATTTCCGAATATTAAATAATTTAATTACGTTTTAATTATTTTCCTAAAAAATAATAGAATAATTTAATTAAATTAAAAATATGTTTAATACAAAATCATGTTGGACTAAAATAAAATTAAATTCGATTTAATTTGGTGCGAAAGAATGAAAGTATAAGTTCATAATCCCAGAAGCAACAGGGTCAATGCCGACGATAGAATGGAGATAGGTGAAAGTTCTTAAATATAAAAGGCTCCACCTTTCTCGAAAACGGCATCAGTTCACCACAACACATCGAAGAAACATCACCATGAATCCAATCGTAAGTTTAACGATTAAAAAGAAAATTTGCAAAAATTTCTATGTTAATATAATCCCTTTTAGGTTTGCGTAGTTTTCTGTGTCTTTGCTGCTGTAAATGCTGGTTACGCCGGCAGTTATGGCGAAGAAGATCATGGGGGTCACGAAACCATCGTTGTACAAAAGCCGATTCATATCCCAGTACCTAAACATGTCCCAGTTGAAATCCCACACAAAGTACCCATTCCAGTACCAAAACCAGTTGCTGTTCCAGTTCCACAACCTTATCCAATTCAAGTTCATGTCCCACAACCGGTTGCTGTACCAATTATTAAAACCATCACCATCCCCGTTGAAAAGCCGGTACCATACAAAGTCGAAAAGGAAGTTGCTGTTCCAATTGAAAAATACATCCCAGTTACTGTTGAGAAGCACGTAAAGATTCCCATACCAAAACCAGTACCAGTTCATGTACCAGTTTACAAAATTGTTTACCATGGACACGGAGGAAAACATTAAATAAATTGATGTTTTTAGGCTGTTATTGTTAAAAATTTTTTGGTATTTATGTGATTTTGTTGTTATTGTTGTTATTTTGTTGATTTTTTTTAATTTCTTGTAATAAAAAATTTTTTAAATATATTTACGTGTTTTAATATAATACTTTAAATTCCAACACCTTATTATTACAATTTGAAGATTTATTAAAAATTGATGAAATTCAAAAAATCGCTTCTACTTTATTTATAAAGATAAAGAAATGATTCATGGATGAAATTAAAGATTAAAATCTCTATTTTAATGTGGTGTATAAAGATATATATGTTGATTGTGAAGAAATATCTGAAATGTTACAAAATCAAATGATCTAAAAATGGAGTTTATTTTTTAAAAATTGATGAAATTCAAAAAGTCGCTCTGATTTTATTTATGGAGATAAAGAGATGATTTATGGCTCAAATTAAAGATTGAAATGTCTACTTTAAAATGATGTATAAAGATGTATATGTTAATTATGAAGAAATATCTGAAATGTTACAAAATCAAATGATCTAAAATTGTAGTTAATTTTTACAAATTGATGAAATTCAAAAAGTCGCTCTGACTTTATTTATGGAGATAAAGAGTTGATTTATAGCTCAAATTAAAGATTGAAATGTCTACTTTAAAATGATGTATAAATATGTATATGTTAATTATGAAGAAATATCTGAAATGTTACAAAATCAAATGATCTAAAATTGGAGTTGATTTTTACTAATTGATGAAATTCAATAAGTCGTTCTGACTTTATTTATGGAAATAAAGAGTTGATTTATGGCTCAAATTAAAGATGGAAATGTCTACTTTAAAATGATGTATACAGATGTATATGTTGATTATGAAGAAATATCTGATATGTTACAAAATCAAATGGTCTAAAATTGATGAAATTCAAAAAATCGCTCCAACTTTATTCATGGAGATAGAGAAATGATTTGTGGATTAGATTAAAGCCTGAAATTTCTACTTTAATATGATGTATAAAGATTGATATGTTGATTATGAAAATTTTCTGAAACGGCGCAAAATGAAAAGGTCTTAAATTGAGGTTGATTCAAAAATTTTTAAAAATTGAGGAAATTCAAAAAATCTCTTTAACTTTATTCATGGAGATAGAGAAATGATTTATGGCTCAAATTAAAGATTGAAATCTCTATTTTAATGTGGTGTATAAAGATATATATGTTGATAATGAAGAAATATCTGAAATGTTACAAAATCAAATGGTCTAAAATTGAAGTTGACTTCAGGATTATTAAAAATTGATGAATTTCAAAAAATCGCTCTGACTTTATTCATGAAGATAGAGAAATGATTTATGGCTCAAATTAAAGATTGAAATCTCTATTTTAATGTGGTGTATAAAGATATATATGTTGATTATGAAGAAATACATAAAATGTTACAAAATCAAATGGTCTAAAATTGAAGTTGATTTCAGGATTATTAAAAATTGATGAATTTCAAAAAATCGCTCTGACTTTATTTATGAAGATAGAGAAATGATTTATGGCTCAAATTAAAGATTGAAATCTCTATTTTAATATGGTGTATAAAGATATATATGTTGATGATGAAGAAATATCTGAAATGTTACAAAATCAAATGGTCTAAAATTGAAGTTGACTTCAGGATTATTAAAAATGGATGAATTTCAAAAAATCGCTCTGACTTTATTCATGAAGATAGAGAAATGATTTATGGCTCAAATTAAAGATTGAAATCTCTATTTTAATATGGTGTATAAAGATATATATGTTGATTATGAAGAAATATTTGAAATGTTGCAAAATCAAATGGTCTAAAATTGGAGTTGATTTCAGGATTATTAAAAATTGATGAATTTCAAAAAATCGCTCTGACTTTATTCATGAAGATAGAGAAATGATTTATGGCTCAAATTAAAG